TTTTTTTTTGACTTTGAGCTGGCTGACAATTCCAGGGTTAATTGCTTCAGGGATTATTATTTTCAGGATCGTGGACCCCGCTCATTTGGTGATCGTGAAGGTATGTTTTGTGCAAATAATTACAAGCACCAATCACGAATATTTGTAAATTATGATTTCTCGTAATTGTAAGCAGAAACTGTCGAAGTGCTGTAGAATTAGCGATTATTAGTGCGTAACAGCAGGCGATAGAAATTCGATCGGTGACTCGTTCAGAAGTTGCGAGCAGCTAGTTTTTATGGGCAGTGAAATGGCAGATGCCAGCTGTTGAGGAGGGAAAACCTGGTTAATCGCACTTGCCACGTTTTTGAAGGTATCTTTGTAACGCAGAACTTCACGTCGATAACCTAACAGACTTCAAGAAGCAACTCAGCCGAAGTTAATCCTGGCCACTGACTTGGGATGCGATCGATGTCCCATGCGTAGAAAAGTCCAAAATATTTATAGTCTGTTGAAGCATCATGTGAGACCTTGTGGTGTACACCGGAAGAAAAATTTGGGGTAATAGGTTGAACATGGAGCCAGCAAGTGGACAGAGCGTGTTATCCGGTTGTGCACAAGCAATTTTAAATGAATTTTGCAGACCCCCTCCTCCGCCATCCCATTCGGTCTTTTGCCAGGCAAAAGGAGCATTCGGGCTAAAGCCTGTATAGAATTACGTAAGTGCAGAGGCAAAACAGAAGGGGATAGAGAAGTGGCCAGTTGCAGTGATGGTGTGGAATAAATAGCAGCGCGCACCAGACTAGCCGGTGCGGTCATGCGTTTTGTGCAATGCAGCCCATCGAACAATTGCCTATTAATTATTTTCACTGCTTTGTACTTTAGTCTGTGCAAAGTAGTTCAAACATTGGAAAACAGTTAAAAATTTCACGCACCAGCGCATAAAAGCTGAATTCGAAACCTTGAAGGGTGAATATCTTTCCGTGATTCCCGAGTTAATAGTTTAACAGCCAAAACTCTCACGAGGCGGTAGGTAATACTCGACAGCGAGGGAAAGCTGAATTTGAGTGAGCAAGGTTGAGCGTGGGCAAGGGGTTATTACTTTAAAATTTCAGCCTCCTAGACTTCGTGGTTCCTGAGATATTGATTTACCCTTTCACTGGGCCGTACGTGTTACCCGCAGGTAAGGGAAGGCTGAATTTAAATTTGCCGCGTCACTCGTTGGCCGGGAACACTATACCAAAATTTCATTCCCTAGCTTTTGTGGTTCCCGAGTTGAAAGTGCGGGACAAACACACACACACGCACAGACAACCCCGTGACAATATGCGTTTCGTAACGCTGTTACACGGCACAGAACGCATAAAAACGGGATTGTGAAGCAACTTGTTGATCAGGGTACGAAAGTTACTGTTTTTTCATTGTAGAAGGCGAACGCCGACGACCGTTGGCGCAGTTTGTTCCGGAAGATCGTTCGTTGGAAGAAATGTATCAAGAGGACGTTGAAAATGCTAAATATGAGGTCATTTTCATGTTGCCTTTTTCAGAGGGTTAGAATGGTATGCCATATTAGTGAAGGGACTCAAATTTTCCCCAGATCTTGTGTTTTGAGCACGGGACGCGACGTAACGTTACTCGAAGTCGCCGTACATTTTCCTCGTCTGAAGAGGAGAAGGAGGATGCTCACATGTTTCTAATTTGCAAGCTTATTTTGATCCGAAAATGCAGGACAGTGGAGCGAAAAGTGAGGGATTTATCTCAGAATTGAAAGATGAATTTTTTGAAAACTTTTTTTTAAGGTGAGTGATTTGGACCAAGAAGTGGTGGTCACAGGCGTGCCGCAATCTCAAAGAGTAATGAAACTTGAGTAAGTCCCACCTTTATTTATAGTTTTGCTCTTTTTTTTTTCACTTTTCGCCGTTTTTGTGATTTTTTTTTTTGGGCGCAGAGTCAAGTTGCATAACTTTAGACGTTGGTACAGGTCTGAACCGTTCGCGTAATCCTTTGCTTTTTTGTGTCCATCAGATCGGTTGGCAGTCTTTACCTTATTGCTGTAATTAGATCTACATGACTGGACGGTTCTTCCTAAGAGATTTGATTGAAATCTCTTAGGTTTCGATCAAAGAGATTGGAATCCTAAGAGATTCCAAATTAAATTCCATCTCTCTTGCAGAAACCACCGCCTTTTCAAGTACAGGAGAGAAACGCAAATGCTTTTAATGACTTTTCTTTGACCACTTTAGGCAGCCCCACTTTTGCCCTGCATAAGAATTATGCAGTATTTCATTGTAATCACATGAGAAAGCAAATTCGATGAACAGATGGAACTGACAGCAAATAATGAACATTTTCGAATTAGAGACTGATATCTACGAGCAGTGAACGTTTCCGAAGAATTGGCATAATCAGATGAACGTACGCTGCTCAAATTTAAAGAACGTGAAACATTCCTGTTCAGCTGATTAATTGCAGTTTAATGCTATTTTCTTGAATTTTTGCATAAAATGCCCTCAGAACTTTTAATTTTTGTCCCTTTAAGCCATTACTGCTCTGGCGTATGGAGTAATAATATCGAGTTCCTGTGACAGGTTTTGTAAATCTTGGTATGTGTGAACTTCTCCCATAAGTTTCGAAGGGCGATTGTTTTAAAAAATCAGGTAAAGGTTTTTACTCGGTGACCACATTTTTTTGCAGTAACTGGGCAAATGCCGGTTTTGGAGAACTGCTGATGCGAAACATTGTTGCCAGATCACAGTACAAGGAACCACGGCGCATACAGGCGGCAGTCATCCCTCTCATCCAGAACGGTTTGTTTTTTTACTCAGTTTTACATATACCTTTTTTGGGCCCAGGCATGCATAATTCACTACTTGTTTTGTGGCGTTAGGATGGCAAAAAGTTCGACTGAGGTTGCAAAGAACAAAGGTCGTAAAAAGAGAAGCAAACAAATTCGACTGAATTGATAAAAATGGATTTGGAGAAGGTGGGGAGGAGGGAGGGAGGGGAAGAAGGGTGTGGGAGGGTGAAGGGTGTGGGAGGAGGACTAGAAAGATGTGCGCTTGAGGATGGTTTTCAGCGTTTTGGACTTAATTACTACGGTGCGTGCTGAACTTTGTTAACGTGCCATCCGTGATTGCATGTTAATGCCAGTGATTATACGTTGTACCAATAATTGCGCGATTTTCTTTGATCGAAATTTTCTGGAAGGCACGTCGTTGATTTTGTGAACATGACATAATAATAATGATAATGACAGCGACGATAACAATAATAGTAATGATGGTGATGTTGATAATGATAACAGCAGTGACAGTAATAATGATAATAATAGTAATAATAATAATAACGAAAATAATGATGATTGTAATGATATCAGTGATGATAACACAATAAATAATAACAATAATAATAGCAGTAATAACAATGGCAGTAACGATAATAATTGTAATTATAATAGTGATAATGATAATAATGACAATAATAATAATAATGATGATAATAATAATAATAACAATAGTAATGGGAATAATAATAACGATAATAATGATAATAATACAGACCGACACTGAAATGAAATTGCGCTTCCGTAGCGAGTACAAACAGGACTGCACTAAGGAAGTTATGCATGGCTGTGAAATAGCAGTGGCTGTCCGGTCATTCTGATGATGTTTGAAGACTTTCCTCTAAGGTCTGTATATCTGTCAGGGCTTTATGGCGTCGAGCAGTTTGTGTTTCTTGAGAATATAGCATCATTTTTCAGCTAGCTGCATCTCACATTAGGGTTACACGTTGCAGTTTTGGGCCTTTGATTGTTGTTGATTTTTTTGAACAAGCTTATTTATTTAGGATGGGATTTGTTTGGACATGCTGAAACGGGCAGTGGCAAAACTGCTGCATTTGTTCTGCCAATTATTAATCATGTCATTACACATGGCGAGCCAGCCGATCCACGTTGCGCTCCAGTCGGCTTAATACTGGCGCCGACCCGAGAATTGACGGGGCAGCTGTACAATCAAACCAGAAAATTTTCGGATGGTAAATTTCCATGAATAGCCCTCTTTGTTGTATTTCTTTTGCAGAACCTAGCTACAGGGTTTTTGCTTTATTTTTACACTTTGATCAGCTATTGTTTCATCGCTTACGGATTTAGCGGGCAGTTTCTCCGTTCTCTCTTTCTTGAGCCTCTTTCATCCATTTTATTCTTTGTTTTTATATTTATGTGGACAAGTTGGCGTGAAAATTCATGCAAAATCTCTTCCATTCTCTTTCAATTTATCATCCCCTGTCTAAATGCCGGTGGTAGAAATTATGATTGGGCAAATCCGGTAATGCCAAAGCGATATTTTGAACTGTTTTACTGAGTTTAAAGTTGGAAATTCTTTAGGATTAACTGGTCGGTTGAGTGATTTAATGATTACATAATTCCTCATTTTTAAAATTACTGGTATAAGAATTTTTCAGGCACAGGTGTAACAGTAGCAAAAACATATGGGCGCTATCGAATGGAAGACAATTTTATGGAACTGGAAAGAGGCTGCAATATTCTGTTCGCAACGATGGGCCGGCTGAAAGATTTCGTGGAACATGGAAGAGTAAGCAAACTACTTTCTAGTGAACCTCTCGTGCCCAACACTTTGTCCGTTCTCAAGCAGATGGCACTCGAATTTTTTTCATTTACTAACGAACGATAGATTTTACTATGAAGCAAACTGGAAGCTGAGTTTTCGATTTATCAGCCTCAGCAATACTTCGCAAATACTCAGGGAGAGCGCTTTTTGACTATCTTTTCCAGTGAAGCGAAAGAGGGCTATGTTTTGGACGAACACTCTGTGTGTGTGGTCCTGTATCCCGTTGTCTCTTCCTTCCCGAATAAGCTACATTTATTGCTTTAGCACTTCTGCAGCTCATAAATAGCTGGATTTTCTGAAATTCGTGAGGGATACGTGATTTTTTGCCTTCTTTCTCTTCCCTTGGGCCGTTAGAGCAGCTGTACTTGAAAAGTCTGGCCTAAGGATTCAAGGAAGAAGAAAGCAGCTTCCCAGTTACCTTGACTAGTATTACTGTGCTGAAGACCAACCACTAAGGTATTAGTAGCCATTTGTCTCATCTAAGATTGCTTGCTAAGGTGCTACAGAGCAACCGGCCATATGAGCATTTTTTTGTGTGTGTGTGTGTGTGTTTGTGGAAGGGTACCGCTGTTACATTCGCTGGTTATTGGTAGCATAGATTTTTACTATGCGTTTTTTACACCTGTACAATGCAGAAAACGCATACTGACGAGAGGTTAC